GGAATCCCAACCGTTAGATCTTCATCAAGTGGATCAAAATACATATTACTATTTTAATTTTAATTATTTTTTATAAATCTAATTAAGATGAAATTTTGGGTGTACATACTTAACACTATTTCACACCATATAAAAATATAAAAAATTATTTTCAATAATTTAAAATGACCAAATGAGCCCCGTCATATTTCAGGGGTATTTTGGTAATTTTATATTTTGAAAAATATTTTTTATATATTTTTAATTGTGCACCTTATTTTTTATTATATACGTCTAAAATTTCATTATGATCCGATTTCAAAAAAAAATATTAAATTCATATAGTGATATGCATTTTGACTAATAAGATGAAGATCTGACGGCTTCCATTCCACCTATATTACTATTAGTTATAGCTGCCCGGTTATTGTTAAATATAAAGCTAGCAATAGCTAGGCAGCTATAATAAATAGTAATATAGGTGGAATGGGAGCCGTCAGATCTTCATCATATGGTTTAGAATGCATATCACTTTATGAATTTTAATTTTTTTTTTAAAATGGAAAAGTGTATATAGAGCAGAGGCTCTAAACAATCAAATTTGAGCCTATTTCAAATTTTCACAAGAAGAGGTTGTTTTGATGCCCAAATATCTTCAAATTGATCATCTTGACATCAAGATGCACGGACGTGAGAAAAAAAGTAGATTACAAGTTTTGGAAATAGTGTATTTTGTTACTCATTTTTGGACCGTAAATTTTCAAGATTTTCAAGTTTCCATAGATATCTCGATCTACACTACTTTTAAAGCTTTAAATTTTATAAATAAATATGAAAATATATTTTAAGGCTATCACAAAGATTTTCAACATTAAAACCACACTCTTGACACTATTTGAAGGTAGGCTCTAATTTTATTATTTAGAGCTTAGGCTCTATACAAACCGCACCCTTAAAAAAATATATAAAAAAATATTTCTAAAAATATAAAATGATCGAAATACCCTTGAAAAATGACGGGAATAATTTGATCATCTTAAATTATTGAAAATAATACTTTAATATTTTTATTTGGTGCACAATATTGTTAGATATGTACACCCAAAATTTCATCTTAATCAGATTCATAGAAAAAAATTAAAAATCATATGGTGATATGCATTCTGAATCACAGGATGAAGATCTTACAGCTGGGACTCCACCGATATTACTATTCATTATAGCTACCCAGCTATTATTAGATTTTTCCATATATATATAGGAAAAGTCTTCCCAACACCTATAGGTAAAAATAAATATTGATTTCGCCCACCCTCATCAGCGTCCAATTTTTTTCATATAAAATATCGTTTTGATATTTTTTGTAGATTCGCCTATTTTGATGAACACACGCTCCAAATTTCAGGTCATTCTGATTTGGAAAAAAAATAAAAAATAAAACACTACCAGACAATTGTGACCATACGATGAACTTTAGACGTTGATGGGAGTAAGCGAAATCACTATTCATTTTCGCGTATAGGCGTTTTGTAGTATATATGTTGTTTTTATCATTTTTGACGAAAAATGTATTTTGGCCATAAATACTTATTTTCTCATTTTCCCAAGTTTTTTAGTTATTTCAAAAATGCCCTGTCACAAGTTGATTTTTTAAAACCAATTTTTATTTACTTCAGTTTTTTACTACATTTTTTAAAACCTAGTTTTTACTACTTTTTTAATTTCATTTTGAAGTATTTTGCTTAATCTTTACTTTAAATATACATTTCTTATTTTTTTGAAATTTTTTTGCTGCTATGGTACTCGGCACTACCCGAGCCAAGTTACTCGGACTCGGCTCAAGTGCTGGGCCTGAGTCGACGTTTCTAACACTGCTTTAGACATGAAGAGTACAGAACAAGTAACCATTTTGTTCGCTCTCGTAACTCAATGACTTTTACAAAGGTCATGTTTGCTCCAATTTATTAGTAGGAATAACCCATTGGTGAAGGGAACTAGAAACACGATCTCGTTAGAGAAATTTCCCAAATGCTTTCTTGGATTACTCTCTAAACTGGTCATCCCAAGTTCCTAACCTATCATTAGCAAATGAGAAACACATTTTTTTTTTTTGGAAATTCTAATGCTATCTCGAGGGTACTCAGACCCAACATCCAATATCCGTCATGTATGTTTATCCAAGGCAGTGAAAATAAGTGAGTGTTGATTTTTTCATGACCCATTTTTTGGTGAGAATATATACAAAATTCCATGGCCCCTGAAAGCATCGGTGATGAATGTAGAGCACAAGCACCTTAATACTAGTACGGAGTATGGAATCTGTCCCTTGATCAAATTGATCTTATTAAGATGGTTTTATAGACTAATGATTACACTCTATGGACTAATTGATGTGCTTATAGGAAGATAATAGAGACTAAATATACTGATAGCATAATAGTCATTATCTTTCGATTATGCTATACTTGGCCCTCAATCTTCGCATTAAACATTATAGATATAATCCTTACAAATAAAAGGAAGAGTGCATTAAACCCCAAATCCTGACCTCAAACCTACTTCCCTGGGTCCTGGATTTTGGGTCTGAAATCCCATTTGGAATTAACAAGATTTCAGTCATTCCTAATTAATGAAAGGTAAAGGAAAAAGTTCTCCAAGTGCTGGTTCCCTACTGACATATTACCCTAACAATGAATCAACCTATATATACATCTAGTCTACCATGACCTTCAAAAAATCAACATCAACCTTCCATGTCCTCCATGGTTTTACAAAAGCTCTGCACAATCAAGGAGATGGGGCAAAGAAGAGGTGGGTTGCTCCAAGTAGCCATGATCAAGTGCAGTCGAGAACGAATATGTGTTAGCATGTTCGGTATCCATGGCAGCCCTTGTGCTAGCACGTGCAAAGATCGTTAGAGCATCAGATAGTTGTGTAATGGTGCACATCTTCCCTTGCACATGGTCCATGGCCCTAGGGCTTGCATGTGAAAGGGCGGATAGGGCATCTGATAGTTGTGCCTTGAGGCTCATGTTATCGGCATTGGTCATGGCCAGTTCGGCTTGTAGAATTGAGACTTGGTGCTGGAGAGAGACAATTGCAGCCACACAACCATAGATGGGGTCCTTAAGTCTTGCATGAGCCTCATACACCATGCTGCAAACTGCATCTCCCCTTTGGTTCACAGGGATGTCCTAGAGAATAATATGAAAGTACATTAGCAACTTGTATGATAAACATGTGTACTTGTTCTTAAACACTTTTTGTATTTTTTTTCTTGTGTATAAGCATGTGTATATGTGTTCGTGAGAGAGAGAGATTCTTAAAATTGTCGAAAGAAAAAAAAAAAAAGAAAAAGGAGAAAAAAATAAATAAATAAAAAAAAGAAGTCCGAAAAGAGAGAGAGAGAGAGAGGTCTTGGAACACCTCAATGTTTTCGTGTTTTCAACATTTATGTTTGGTACTCAGTGCTGTCCTTGCAAAGTACAGCACTTCACTAACGCATCCACTCTACTTTCCCAAGACAAAGGGCAGTACTTAGAGAAAAAGTATATGCTGATGCACTGCAGATGCCTCGTGATACTTTGGATGCTCATACAAAGCTAAAAATGGAGAGAGGAAAAAAGAAACCCATTTGAAAATTGAGAAAAAATAGGTACTAGTATTTTATGAATAGTGGATCTACTTTATATGGTAACAACCTTGTATCCATACTTAGATTTTCTTTCCTCTTTGTCCTTCAAAAGTAAATGGGAAAAGAAAACTTCACAATAATCATAAGTAATCAATAATAATAATAATAATTCCTGATATTCTAGAAATAAATAACCATAACATCAAGCAGGACAATTACGACAACCATATTGTAACAGTAATAGAAAGCATCATAGCAATAAACAACAAATGAGAGAAAGAAAATAATTGTGACAATCTGAAAAGAATAGAGTTGCTTGTGGTAATTACCCTCAGCATCTTGCTAACATTGCTAGCACCAAAGATACGATGAACACCAGCAAACTTCTCGGGATCAGTTGCTGGAAAATACGGCACGAATATGCAGTCCTTTGTGCACCTCCTGCGCAGAAGCTTGCAGCCTGCACATGGCATCTTGATCTTCATCCTTGAACAGCTCTTCATGATAGGAGGCCTCCTATCCCCTCTCACTCTCTCTCTCTCTCTGTCTTTCTCTCTCTTATACAAAGCAAATTACCAATCAATAATCTTGAATTTCTGTTGCTTTCTCTATCAATAGAATTTCAAAGAAGCTTTCTGACACCCTGGAATATGAAAGAAGCTATTTCTATTACTAGGAACTCAAAGAACTTTGTGGAAAACAAGGAGCCAAAGTTCTCCATAATAACTTTTTCGCCCTTATGGCACTTGGGCTGGCACTGTGGAAAAGAAAATGGGCTCCTACAGAGAACCCAATACAGATATTTATAGGCAGCTTAAAAATTGAACGAGAGAAGCATTTAAGCTCTTGTGTGGCTTAAAACTGAGAAAGAACTTTCACCCATTTTATGAAGTAAAAACAACACCCAGGTTGAAGTAACAAGCCAGGTTTTAACCCATTGGGATCTCAGTATTTACAGTTCCATTTTGTTGTAAAGGGGTCTTTGCGTGTAGGTTATTTTCAGAACTTGTCTCCTGAAATGTCATGCAAACCTGAGCAAATGCCATAACTATTGCAATTTATGTAATAGTATGTGATGACCAAATCATATTAATAAGCACTTATGAGGTAATTTATAAGGGAGGTGATGGGTTGGATGCAACACATTCATGGCATTGCAGGGAGTTTGGAGTATGCAATGACTAGCGATTTAAAAACCATTGGAGGGGACGGGTGTGAAAACTAGGGTTTGGGTTTTTTTTGTGGGTCCTTTATTTCAGATATTATCATGGAGAAATTATAATACCATTCCCTTATCTTTAAATGAGAAGGACCCTTCTAGTTGAGTGAAGTAAATAAGGGGAGAAACTCTCCTTAATATTCCACTTCCCCACATTTACTCTACCATTTTAATTTTGGGAGAAACTCTCCTTAATATACCACTTCCCCACATTTACTCTCCCATTTTAATTTGTGTATTTATCGAGGAGCTAACTTTCAAAGTCCTTTAAGTTTCTATTCATGTTGGCTCATGGGAATGTGTTTCCCTCATTAAACTCACTAGCTATGAGTTCAATTTCAAACTCAGAAGGGAGGCCTGTTATAATGAAACCTTCAAATTTTTTAATCTTAGTTCTCCTCATGCCCATGATTTCTTTAGGGTTACACCCATACATGATATGAACACTGTAGAAATTAAACCTGTAGAAGTTAAGGTGTAAAGGAGAGATGGCTGAATAGCTGAATTAACCCCGAATAAAGGTCTGCAGGACTCCACATGCCTACGTCCCTCTTCGTGAGATAACGCAAGAGCGACTGATACTCAACGTGCCACATCGATATGATAATCGAACCACCGACAGGATGAGAAATTCGGGCTATCCAGATCTTTACGATGTCGTTCATATCATGACCCACAGACAAAAGATAATTTTATTCACATATCTTGTGCATGATGAGGCAACAATATTGCTTAAAAAGAATGAAATTTAATAATAGTACATAAAAAATGAACAATTTGTCTGGCTCTTCAATATTTTTCATAAGTCATACTGATCACACCTATCATAATAATATAGTTTGCAATATATTGTTACCAAGGTCAAAAGCATCATGTGCATATTATTTTCATTTCTCTATGACTGTTATGGTAATCATCAACCATCATTTGAAAATCATTTACTATGTTCCATGAATATGATAACAACCATAATAACTGCACTTTCATAAACTATCCAAGTATAAAAAAGCACCAGAATGGTGATGACCAACAAAATACATGTAATGCAACTTGTAACTCTAAGATAAAACTTCTTTTAAAAAGAAGCTGAGGTCCTTTATGTATTTGAAAACAAAAAAGGACGGCTAATGGGACCAGCTGCAACCACAAGTATAAAACAGTTCACACTTAGTCATATTCCTATAAAGGGATTCATAAAAAATTGAGGGCATAAAATGCGTAGCAGCATAGATGTTGTTTTCATAGGTCAATCAACCGTCACTTGGGATAATAATTTTCAATCGTTGATGATAGAAGGATAGACTGTTCAACAAAATTTAATTTAGCTAGAGCTACAATGTTGTGCTAGGTTACATAGCCAAGTAACATGTATATAAACCAGCTACAAATGATTAAGAAGGAAGGGAGAATACCAAGGGAAAAGAAGGAATTTGGCATTTGGTACAGTAGCAAAGGTATCAAAGGGAATGAAACACAAAATCAATGATCAAAATCTACTACTTAGAAAAGAATTTTAGAGAGAAAGGAACTTTTGAAAAATAAAGTGCCCCACACACTATGGTGGTTCTTTTGGTCACCGTATATACAATAGCACTGCAATAAAAAAAGGAGTACAACTTATGTACAATTTACATTGTCAGCACTTTCCTATCCATGATACATATAATATATACTTTTCTATCTTGTTACATGCTCAGTTTCTTTGCATGTGTTGTGCATAATTGCCTTTAAAAGGAAATAACAATATTTCCACCTTGTGGCCTTCCAAAAAAAACTTGGAGTGCTGGATTTTATTTCTATTACTGCCTCTCAAACTCAGCTGGAGAGACATCTGAAATACGAGTTTGAAGCAAAGACCTCAAAAACATCACGTGGAAGAGGCTTAATAAAGATACCAACTACTAGATTTCAAGAGCAAAAAAATAGAGTAACAAGTGATTAAATAGCAACCTTCTCACGCACAAAATTATAGTCTAACTCAATGTGCTTTGTTCGAGCATGAAGAATAGGATTAGCTATGTAGAGAGCACTAATATTGTCACATAAAATTGTTGGTATTTAAGACACAGGAAACCTAATGTCTCCAAGAATTAAAAGAAAACCATGTCAATTTTGTAGCAATGAATGCCATAGATTATTCAGCTTCAACACTCGAACGAGCCACAATTTATTGTTTTTTTAACACTTTACGATATGCAATTGGAACCAAGACAGGTATAAAACCAGTAGTTGAATGACGAGTGTTTAGACAGACGACACAGTCTGTATAAGAGAAGGTTTATATCTCAAGAGAATTAGCAGATAAGATTCTTATACCAAAGAATTATGTACCATTGAGATAGCATAAAATCCGCTTAACTTCCTGAAAATATGCAACTGTAGGGGCATGCATAAATTGACACATTGAGAAAGGTCAAACCGCGTTATGGTAATGTATTAGAGTGCGCCAACAATTCTCCAATAAAGAGATAGATTAAGAAAAGGATCAGAATTCTCATGAACATTATTCTTCATTGCTTACAGTGTTGAAATAGGTTTGACACTTAGCATTTGAACGTGAACACGAAGGTTTCGAGTGTATTTGGTTTGAGACAGAAAATATTACTTAAAAAGTAGTGAAGGGGTCCAAGATCTTACATTGCAAATTCTCTTTCGAGTTGAGAAATAAACCATTCCAAAATATCTAAATTATCACTTGTAATAATAATATCAACATACAGGAGAAGGATAACAGTGCCTTTAAGAGTGCGACAAACAATCGAGAGATGCTTGTCAGAGACCATGTAAAGCTCTTTTTAAATTGTAGATACGATTTTGATATTCTGAGCCCATAAAGGTAGGAGGTTGTTCCAAATACAAGTTCCTTAAGAAAGCCATGTAGAAAAATATTTTTCGCATCAAGCTACTTGATAGGTCAGTGTCACACAATGGCTATTGTCACAACCCTGCTCCCTGACCCCTGACCCCTGCCAGAGGGTGATAGAGCACAGGATCGTGACCGGAGGTCACGAACGTCACTCAAGTGGGAGTGACTCAACGCATAAAACACGAAATCGAGAGCAAACCACGACAGGAAACTAGAATAAATCCACTCAAACAAAATCAATCCAACAGGTTCAGCCATTTCGTTCATTCAATATAAAAGGTTTTTACAGTTTCTTGAAGGCATTAATGGCCCAAAATACACAAAATGAAGTATACATCATTTTGCTGAAATCACCAAAACATACTGTGAAATTCTTCGGAAGACGGCTTCACAAACTTCTAAACTTCGAGTTTCAAACCCTCAAACGGCCACCCACCTTTAGCACGGATGCCACCACCCATCACTCTACAGTTATGAGATTAAGATGGAATAAGCTAAAAGCCCAATATACAGATCTACACCATTGCATTCCAACCAGCATAATAGTGATACAATATTGCAAAGCACACACACACACACATACACACACATACACACACACACACACACACACACACACACACACACACATATATATATATTCGCAAGGTATCAAGTGAAAACCTTGAATATGGTTCTCATGATTATAATAGTCATATGATAAAAGAAGTTCAATATACAATGCATAAGTCACAATCACCTTACTTAAAGCAGAGTAGTAAGGACAACAGATCACAGGTACAATTAAAAGTTCACGCATAAAACTTAAATAAGACAGGCAAAGAAATCTATTTACTCGTGAAGTAGAAGCCACATCGGTTAGGCTAAGCCAATCCTGAACTTGGGACTTCTATCCTCACTCAGGAGGGAGGACAATGGCAAGTGGGTAAATCCACTTCGTAATGTCCTCACTCATGAACACAATCCCCAGCACGCTTTAGGGATTCGATATGCAGTGGCCTTGCAAGACATGACCCTTTCCTTAAGCCCTTCTGGTGAGAGAGCGTTACACTACCATTAGGTGACTCAATGCGTAGTTCCCACATAGATCTGGGGGGCGCGACCCTCCCAACTACTCACATCCTGAGTCCCGTCCTATCATAAGGAGTCAGGGGAAGATTACGGCTGCCGGCACCAGCATTCACATAATAGGTGCCCAACAGGAAGCTACTAGCACCATCACTCACACAGTAGGTACTCATTCACATAACACATAAGCATCACTACTGCCAGTACCATCATTCACACAGTAGGTGCCCATTCACATAACACATAAGCAGCATGATACTATCATTCACATAGTAGGTATCCATTCACATATCATAGAAGCAGCATGATACCATCATTCACACAGTAGGTATCCATTCACATATCACATAAGCATCATGATACTATCATTCACACAGTAGGTATCCATTCACATATCATATAAGCAGCATGATACCATCATTTATACAATAAGTATCCATTCACATATCACATAAGCAACATGATACCATCATTCACACAATAGGCATCCATTCACATATCACATAAGCAGCATGATACCATCATTCACAAAGTAGGTATCCATTCACATATCACATAACCAGCATGATATCATATTATGGTGATATCAATATTTCA